TACAGACTAATTCTATCGGACAATCATTCAATGATCAATTAAATTTATTTTGATAAGTTTACTGTTCAGGTCTTTTAGACATTCTAAGAAGGTTTTCATTTTTTGTCCTCGATTCTAGATCCGATCGTATTTATTTAATAAAAACTAGGAAAGTACGTTTTGTTATTATACATAAAGCATTGTTGTATAATTCTTTAATACCTTACTCAAAACAAAATAATTTTGTAGATATATATGACAAGAAAGTAGTGAAAGAAATCAGGCGATCAAAATTGATCGCTAGTAAATTAAACAGGGATAAATCCAGCACTGTTCTAATCAAAATTTATTAATCACAGTACTTCTTTTTTATGAAATCTGAAAAAACACCGAATATTCGAATCTTAAATTCATATTCGAATATCAACTCATCGAATGAATATTCGAATGTTCGAAAATTCGTTGACATCCCTATTTTATATATATAAAGGTGACATATAACTCATATTCAGTTTCTCAATCCAACTCGGACTTCAGAAACTGTCCTGGACATCTTTTATTTTTTCTACATTGCTCAATGGGGTTGCTAAATTTGTATACAAAAAGATCAGGACCTAAATGTATACATATGCCTTGGTCTTTTAGATTTTAAAACTGTCTAATTAAAGCTGAATAAAAATGTTTGTGTACTCAAATTGGCATCCACAATACTACAAGTTTGAACATTTTTTATAGAAAAATGTGGTAATGATATTTGATAATTGAGAAACTTTTCTCATTATGAATGCAAACATTGAGTATACAAACAAATATTTATTTGCAATTTCAAATTTATGTGGAACTTCGCCCCTTTGCAGGGCCTCGTGTTGACAATGCCAGACTGATCCCTGGATTTCCCCCTGGAGGTTTGTGTGGGAAAATCCGATCCTCCGCAGATTTCCCCAATCTGAGATCCTTCAAAACTACACAGAATGAACTGACTGTACAGTTTGTTACTGACAATAAAAAAGATAGCAAAATTGGATTCACGCTCCGAATCAGGCAGATTCCTTACTCTAATCCAGGGAACCTGTATCCAGATGGCAGTAATCCTGGTGGTATGTTGAACATAAAAGGACATGTTTCTATTTAAAAAAATTTCAACTATTAAAATTGCTTGCTCTTGCAAGAAAAGACAAGAAAAATTGGAATAGGCCAATCTTTAAGGAAAAATAATGCTAAAACTGCTTAGAATCTTTTGAGAAAGATAAATTCTACTATCAAATTAGAGAAAGATCGTTCGAAGAAATACTCCATTTTATAAATTCCCTTCAAAGGTTGGAGTGATGGCTCGTTCAACGAGTTCCAGAATAACTGGGATGAACAGATTGTGATCCCTGGGGGACAGGGTCCGGGCAGTGGGAACGATTACGACAAGGAAACGAATGGTCTGACCTGCTACTCCTGTAGTTACTGTAACGTAGAACCATTTAAACCTGAGGACTCTGGTGTGGGTACGGAGACAGGATGTCATGTCTGCTCCAAGGAGTGGGATGATGGTAGGTTTTAATGGGTATTCCAGAAGGGGATTCATTTGTACATGTGTATATAAACAATAAATTATTGCCTTCAGGGCAGATTTATCTGAATTCAGAATGAGTTGGGTCATTTAACTGCTTTTTCAAGACTTGAAGACCAGGTGGTCACATATATGAGAGATAATATCTTTGATTCTGGTAATTGAATGAGATGCAGAAACATATGTTAGTCAGTTACAAAAATGAGGCAATTTTATGAATGTTAGAGTTATGTCCCCATTCCCCATGTCACGTTAAAAGTAAACCTAAATATTTTGAATTTGTTATGGTACATTTGGACTTTGCAGGCAAAAAAACACATGCACTGGTTGACAAATATTTTGAATTTGTTATAATAAATTTGGAGATTGCAGCAAAAAACACATGTGGTGGTTGACATTTTCATTCCTACATGTACATAGCTTTAAAAATGTTGTGTAACATTTCATTCTCTGATGATGATTTTATAATTTATGTGTACTTCTGCATTAAAAATCAAAGGAAAATAATAGAAAATAAGGTGCTTCATAGTTAACTTCTTTTATTATAAATTTTGGTATTATAAATGCAAACTTCATTATCTGCATAGTCATTAAAATAGAATTGAAATGTTTTTTTTTTCAGTAATTGTTCATTTTATTTTGCAGAATACCAAGTTGCCAGAAGAAAGTGTTACTCCCAGATTGAGTATTACAGAGTGCTACAAAGCTTAGGAACAGGTTATTATCATTTCATTGAGTGGTTTATCTTTTGTCTGAGTGACCTTTTTGTGTAAGAGAAATTCACTGTATAGCCATGACACAAAAAATTGCAAAATAAGATAAGAAAGATGTGAATAATAAAGAATAAGGGGGTATATTTTTGAAATATTACATATTAATAATGCAAAGAACAGAGGAGAAAATGAAAAACCAATCTGAAAAATACAGTACCAATAATGTTCAGTGTAATGTATTGTATTATCAGACTTGTATCAGACTTGTATAAAATTAATGTAATCTTGTAAAGTGTGACTGTTAAACAGTATTTTTAGGGATTTTGGTATCTCTTTTCAGATTTGCAGCCAGTCACAGACTACATTGGTTGTAAAAAATTTATCACCACCTATCAGCGAGCCGTAAACTACTGCTTCTGCAAGGGAAACAAGTGCAATTCAGGCAATCATGTGATGTACAGTTCAATAGTTGTGATTTTTAGCCTTTTATTAGTGAAGTTTTTATACAAAATCTGAGAAAAACTTCATCTTTTAGAAAGGAACTGTTTTTCTACAAGGCTGTGCCATTTTATGGATTGGAATATACATATCATGACTTCAATACACATATCATTTTGATATATTTTGTGTATATATATATATATATATATATATATATATATATATATATATATATATATATATATATATATATATATATATATATTGAAATTCATTCCAATTGTTTAAATGTTTTTTTTTTATGATTTTCTTGTTGTGAATTTTATTATTATAATAAGAAGAAAATTTTGCTATTTTATGGTTGTGAGATATACTGTAAAGCCTTATTATCTTGAACTCGATGGGACCAATTAAAAAAAAAAACTTCAAAATATCCAAAGATTCAAAATGTTGAGGGTAAAATACTCCAAGAAAAAATGCTTGGACCTCCAACACACTTCAACATATCCATGGTATTTGAGCCATTGTATTTGAAATAGCCATGTTCTAGTTACCAAAGTTTAGCTGTACTTGTAAAATGTGCGAAAGGTTGTGCATATCCATTTAATATTATTGTCATCTAGACTTATCTCTGTGTTTGTCATTCCATGCAATATCACATCACCTCCCTATATGAAGATTCCATTCATACTTGTTTTCTAGTGCATTATACACAATTTGACTTTTGATATCATAAATTAAAAAAAAATTGCACTGTTTGTGATTTGCATATTTACATCTGATTTTTTCTTCCAAATAATGCAATTTTTTTCTTGCATATTTTAAAATTTTAAACATTTATTTTCATTATGCGTTTTTATACATGTATTTATGTGTACCATATTAGTTAATAGACATGAATATAAGTTTATATGTTTTACATTCCTTATGTTGAGTGATGTCATTCTTATGTTAAGCATCGAATGATGCAAGACTCTTCTTTTCAAAATAACAATTCTTTTAAATATTCATACAATAAGGATGCATTCTGGAGGTTCAATTAGTGAGTAGTTACTTTGATAAAAGAAATAATACTATTTTTTTTTTAATTTTTTCTGTTCTGGAGCTATACAATTCATTGTAGTTCTTTGTTGTTAATTGCTATTTTTTATTTATATGTATACAATGTACTTTCCATTTTATTCATAATCAAACCTTTTCTTTGTATATCAGTTCAAAGTAAGCTGTGAAAAGTGTTAAACAAATGATCTTGATGCAATTGATTTAGAAGCAAAATTATCAAAATCCTTTATTTTTTATACACATAATTTTAAACAGATGTGAAATATGTTAGCTTTTAAGCTCACCTGAGCAGAAAGCTCAAGTGAGCTTTTCTGGTCACATTTTGTCTGTAGCCTGTCTGTAAGCCTCTCATTTTTGACTTTTTCTCAGGAACAACTGGGCCAATTTGAACTGAATTTGCAATAAAGCATCCTTGGGAGAAGGGGATTCAAATTTATTGAAATGAAGGGCCAGGCCTTCTTTAAATGGGGGATAATTAAGAATTTGTAATAATTTGGTAACATCTTTCAAAATATTCTCAAGAAGTACTGGGCCAGAAGAGTTGAAACTTATGTGAAAGGTTCATTACACAATGTGGAGGTATGGTGGGGCCACAATGGGAGATCAAAATTTCACGTAGGAATATAAAGGGAAAAATCTTTCAAAATCTTCTTCTCAAGAACAGCACAGGCATGATTACTAGTAGTCAAATCGATATGGAAGCAACCTCAATTAGTGTAGATTAAAATTTGTTCAAATCATGACCCCCGGGGTAGGGAGGGGCTAACATGAACGATCAAGGTCTTACATAGGAATATTTAAGGGAAAAAATCTCAAGAACAGCAAAGACATGCTCATTCTTATTGATATGGTAGCATCATCAGGTAGTGAAGATTCGCGGTTCAAATCATGACCCCAGGGGTAGGTAGGGGCCAAAATGGATAATCTGAGTTCACATAAGTATATATAGGAAAACAAAAACAGCTGATGAAGAAAGCTGAACCACAGTGACCAAGATGAGCACTGTGGCCCATGGGTCTTTTGTTTTCTGTACTACCATCATGTATGTGTTCATATCAGTTCTTAGTAAGAATAAGTTGTCATCAAAACTACTACACTCCTTTCAAATGATATATCTTTTTAAACAGTTTTATGTAATTGTTAATTTTACTACACTCCTTTAAAATAATAAATCTTTTTAAACATTTTTATGTTGTTTTCTTCCTGTGCATTTTATATAAATCAACAAACAATAGTCAGAGGTATTATTTTATTTAAGTCATTTTAAACAAAGTTTACAAACAACAAGTTAATGAAGTACATACATTGTATACGTATATTATTTGTTAGCAACATATATGCAGCTAAAATTAATAGGGAGGAAAGACCCTCGTACACATTTTATCCTGGACACAGGGTTGAAATCTGAGTAGGCCTATTTACAAAGATAGATAAAAATACACATCACAAAAGACGGTGTAATTGGCAGTCTGTTTAAATTCTGAGCAAGATTTTCTTCGCTGCATCCATTTCCATGTTGAGGGTTGTGTGCCGACTGACGTCTGTGGACACAGAACCTCTTATGTTGTAAGGAAATGTTTCACCATTAAAATACTCGTAGTTTCAAAAAGCTTCCTTTTAAAAATGTGCAATTTATTTTCATTATAATAATCTTCACACATCGGTACCTTCATTTTCTTTTAATTCTTTGCATTTTAAAGTTTTCTTTGCTGCAACTGTTATCAACTATTTTACTTCAAGGATCATCATATATAAGTCAAAGATTCATCAAGTGAACATAAAATAGAATACCCGGTAAATAATCAAGATAAGTTATCATATCTACATTCAATTGTATTTTTACACTTAATGTCAGATCATTTGACAAAAAAGTGCAAGGTTTCACATATAAAGTGTGATTGAGGGAAACGAGTTTCTGCAGTTTTACTTTCAGTAAAGCTTGCTTCATATTACGGAAATGTACTTCTAGTATGGTTCCCTGCTATGTATTCCTATTCATGTTTGAATGTAGACATAGAAAATATGGTTAGTTGTCATTGTGGTCGTATCCAAAACATTTTCTTTAATATAAAAATGACTTATATTTCAGCAATCCATAGGAGGTATTTCATAGACTATTTCATTACGTATTGGCAGTGACTGACAGTTACACTTAATAACATGAGCGATTAAATTCAGATATCCACAATAAACATGAAAAAAATATATATCATAAAAGTAATGATTTCATCAACAACATTAAATGGCTGCCTTTCAAAAAAAAAAAAAAAAAAATTCAAAAAATTAACAAAATGTAAAAGAAAGATTTTTTTTGGTTAATTCAACGTCAATATTGCATTTCCTTTTCTTATTTTGTCTCATACAGTGTACATAATTTTATCCAGATCAACGCAAGTTATTCTGAAGATGTCCATTAAGTCACACCATTATTGCTGAGACAGGGCATGTTCAAGGTCAGGTACACTTGAGAGACAGGTATCATCCACTAACGGTTCCTCATTTTTTAAATTGTCTAACATACGATGGGACAAATATGGCAGTGAATCCAAAATCAATGACTTTATTTTTTCATCTTTGAATTTGAAAAGATGTTCATAGTTGTTCTTAGGAAACTGTCCACTTGAAACAGTAATCCAGGCTCGTTTTATTATATCGTATGCTTTATCAGAATCCATGATGTCAATGTCTAAAAGATCCTGAAGAGATATGTAATCGAATTTTTCACACACAGAAGACACACTGTCTCCGTTGTTTGTTTTCATATCCGAATCTCCATGAATCAAAAAAATATATGCACGCAGTAATCTTTCTAGAACAATTAAAGGATTTACTCCTTTGAGATTAGTCGCTGAATTATAGAGAGGCGATTGTCCCTTTTTATCAACAGCTTCAGTTGAGCAGCCTTTGGTCTGAAGCATCTTTATTATACACAATATGCGACTAAAATGGACATATTTTGCGGCATAATTAAGGGCAGTTAATCCTTTAAGTGTTTTTGATTTTATTGGAAGTGACAGACCTGAATCTAGAAAAATAGACAGAATACAATGGGCAGTGAAATCATCCTTTGGCGTGTCTATGCAATGATGAAGAATTGAAAATTCGGCACGGTCACGCAATAACAAATCTGGTCGTTCTTTGTGATTGAGAAGTTCTTTTATTGTACTTGTCCTATCCTTGTCGCATCTTACAGCTATCATTAGAGGTGTTCTATCCAAGTCGTTTTGAGCATTGATATCAACTTTAAACTTAAGCATCTTTTTCACTATTGTAAGTACGTCAACATCCTCTCTGTCCGACTTCAAAACCAAGTGTAAAGCTGTGTTTCCCTCAAAGTCCCGCTCGTCAAGATACGATATACTTATCCGCACAAAGCTTCGAATACAGGACACACTTGTATTACTTTCAATTGCAGTATGCAACGGAATTTGCCCGTCTTTATTTTTTTCATTTGCTGGGAAGTTTTCTTGAAGTTTATCAAACACTGCTTCGCGCTCCACTTTTGGTTGGTCTTTGGCATAATAACCAATTGAAGCCAAATAATGAAACAAGTTTCGCTTTGGCTTATTTAATTCAAATATGTTTTCTATCAGATACTGAACCAATTTCTCATATAAATTAGCATTATCTGCCAAATGTTCCAATAATTTATCTATGTCCAAATCCTGTAAATGTGTACTTTTTTCCATTAAGAAAACAAGAGTGTCAAATTTCTTTTCATAGAATTTAAATGCCATATCGATGCAGGTGAGCCCATCTTTATCTTTTTGATCAACATCAACACCAAGTTCAACAAGGCGTTTGCAGATGGCAAGTGTTTGTTTATCTGCTAAACGAGAGCTCGCACAATAATGAAGGTAAGTACGATGCTTTTCATCCACTGAGAAATTAAGGTCCGCAGTACAAATATCAAGCATTCTCTGGACAACTTCAATTTTCAGATCTGACACTCGATCAGGAAAAAGTCCACCTATTCTTGATACATGTTTCTTTGGGGACTCCTCTGTTGTAATTTTGTTTGCCATGGCTTCAGATGGAAATTCCATTGGGTCAAACAAAAATGATCTACAAACCATAGATTGCATTGCTTTCAATAAAGGTGAGTGTGATTCAAAATTCTCTATTTCATCATTAACCAAAGGTCGTTTTGCCAAAAGCAAGTTGAACGAGGCCTCACGTGCGCTAAATTCAGCATCGGATTCCATCAAGTAAAACAAAGCACTTTTTCCATAAGAGTCCTTTGAATTTATAGGCACATCTCTCGACAACAAAAAGTCAAAAAGTTTATGCATATGTGGACAAGCTTGAGCAGCAGTAATCAAAAGGGTCCGATCATCCGGATCTTTTGCAGAAATTTGAAGCTTGTCATTACCAGTCGAAAGCAATTGTGTAATACCTTCAATTTTAATGGTTTCCTCGACATCTTCTTTTATGCATTCATGGAGAGGAAAACAACACGAGTCGTGGAGAGCAATCTGTATTAAAATATTATCTTCGATATTCGAATCCTCCAAAGCAAATCTAAAAGCAGAAATCCCAGTTTTATTACGGGAAAGCACGTCCACAGATTTCGATTTTAATAGGATTTTAACAATTTCTTTTTTCATTATGTCATTCTCGTAGGAGGCTGATAATGCAACACGTAGTGCCGTTTTTCCATTACTGTCTGCTATTCTCATGTCTATTTGTGCATCTATAAGCTGATTTAAAATAACTTTCCTTGGCCTCTGTCTCTTCAACTCTAACAAAATAGGACTATTGCCAAATTTATCAACCATGTTAACATCTGCCCCCGATTTTATTAGAAGAGCAAGAAACTTCTCTACTTGTATGTTTTTCTCATAATTTTGGAGAAGAAGCGTATGTAAACAAGTTCTTCCATAAATATCCTGAGCATTGGGATTTGCTTGATAATGTAACAAGCTTTTCACAACATCTATTGATGGACAAAATTTGCTGATTTCAATTATTAGTGGTGTCTCTCCCATCTTATTTTTCATATTAATGTCTGCACCTTTTTTGTAAAATCTCCGTATTGTCCGTAAGTGAACACTTTTCTCTTCCATTCGCTCAAAGACAACATCACGTTGATATTCACCAGTTACTTCCTCTGGAAGCATAGGTAACGTTTCATCTCTGTCTTCTTTTTCTGTATCATCCTCAGGTTGGGCAATATCGTCATAGTTCCCTGCCATGGTTGGTTGATTCTTTTGGTAATTTAAAAGAAGATGAAGAATGGTATTTCCATTGTCATCAACAAAGTTTAATGGATTTAATCGTTCCTTTTCTGAGTAGTGCTTGATTTCAGGTATTGAACAAAAAGCATGTATAATACCATCTGATATTTCCAAATCAGGAATTTGAACTAAATATAATAAAATCCTTTGGCATGATTCCTGATGCAGCCTTATGGACTTCTCAACTTTTGACACTATACTTTCGAGAAATGTCTCTTCTGTTCCTCTAATTTGATCATACTTCAAGGCACCCTTTTCTTCATTACTTTCAAACAGGCTTTCGTTTCTGTCAAAAGAAAGAACAGCCTCAAGAAATTCTGAGCAACATATTTTTGGTTCATTGTGACAAGCATGTAGAAAAGGCCATCCTTTCCATGTTGAGGATGGAAAACATGCTTCTTTTTCCATCAGGAGTTGTATAGCTTCTTCATTTCTTGCTCTTAGTGCTTCTGAAAGAGGATATATAAAACCCTGGTTTGACTGTTCTCCTAATGAGGAGGAGTTCTCATCTCCATAGAAATTTTGGATACCCTTGCCTGAATACTTTTCTAAAATAAATCCAGTAATTTTAATCTTTTTTTCTGAGGCACATGATGCAATTAGAGAATATCCATACTGCATTAAAATTTCTGATTCTGTTAATGCTTCCTCCAGTATTTCATGTTTTAATAGCTGAAGAACTGTGTCAAGAAGTGCATATGCTGTGAACCAATACATAAAAGGAAATCCACAAGTATCCTTAACACTCATTACATTTTTAACAGTTTCTGCATTTTGTGTAATTTCACTCAAAAATACACCCGAAAAGTTCTTGTTTTTCAGTCCAGGGAATTTGCAAACTTCACAAATATTCCCCTCATTAATTTCTTTTACTAGTCGTTTAGCCAATCTTTGTTCTGAAAGTAGGTTCATCAAAGGTGCATGTTCATCAGAGCAACATTCTGCAAACAACTTTCTAGACAGAACATGCATAGGAAGTATTTCGATAGCTTTTTGTGTGTATTTTTGAATAAAGTAATTTTCTACAGCTTCTCGTACACTTGGGTGAATAAATATATACCCTTGTGTACTGCATTCTCTCAAATACGTCTCTTCAAGATCTGATGCAGCTTGTGGCAGATCTTTAACATCTTTCTTTTTTAAAGATAATTCATCAATATCTGTAAGTCCCAAATCACTAAGGACTTTCCAACATTCATCCTCATCGTCATAAGCCACATTCGTATTCTTCATATCACAAACCAGCATTAGAATAAAAAGTGCCTCTCTGCGTCTTGAACGTTGAATATTAAGAACATCCTTCAGTCCATCAAGCATATACTGGTGAGGATTTGAGAAAAATTTTGTTCCATCTTTCCTGTATCTTTCGTCACATGCAAATAAATGGGCACATAAAGGAAACCCAAATGGAGGACAGGATTCAAAAATACTTGTCCAATCTTCTTTTGAAAATTCTTCTTCCTTGATATTTTTTACTTGGCTTGCATACTTAAATTTAGCTTCCAATATATTTCGTTTTTCCCTAGCACTTAGACTAAACTGTTCTGAATCAATATCTAAAACATATTTTTCCAGCAAAGAGTGAGTTTTATCCATTCTATCTTTTGCTGCTTCAAGCAAATGTGGTCTAGTGGTCATGACTACATATGTTATGAATTCTGGAACCTCTGCTTCAGTGTCCTCACTGGCATTATCACTCTTAACGACTTTCTGGTTGACACATTTTGAACACACAAACTTTTCTATGTAATCAAACTTTTTCCACCAGTCTTTTAAAGTTACATCAGTGCAATCAAATATGTTATCAATGAAAATAAAAGATTTCATTGTTGGATCGACTAACATCTGAAAATCGGTAGGACTATCCAATTTGCGAACAACAAATTCATCGCAATATTTGAACATTAACTGTGTTGCAATCCCCGTTTTTCCTGTTCCTGGTTTTCCAACAATTATGACACAATTATATTTTTTTAGAAACTTTTCTGTCTCACAGAATAAACTTGTTTTCACATAAAATTCGTTTTCCATCTTACATTCTTTCAAATAGTGTTCTGTTTGACCTACAACATGAAAAAAGAACAATAAATACAATTTAGTAAAATGTGCCTCAAACATTAAAATTTAAATCAGAGGTCACTGATGAGACTTCATTTTTACTGGTTCTATCTTCAAAACAATGAAAGTGAAAAGTAGCACTTGCAGATTTCAGACTGTTATATTTTATGTTCTTGAATTCATACATGTACATTTTTTTATGTTAAAAGACATTATAACGTGTATGTTCACATATTATTTCCGAATTTTTCATCAGTTTAGTTTTGATTTTAGGAGATTTTGAGCTTCAAATCTCAGAAAAAGTTCTAAAGTAAAGTTTCATAGTAAATCATTGTATCAAATTAAAGCATTTACTATAGCTAACTAGAGTAAAATTGTGTTAGTGCATGGACCTGAAATTATGAAAATGCTAATAAAAAATAATGTTCCCTGGTTTAGTCTCTTTATTGAAAAGTTTCATTGAAATCGAACTAAAACTGCAGCAAAAATAGCCTTTTGAAACAATTTTACAGAAATTTCCAAGTTTAATCATTTATCATTTTTTTTACATTCATATTGAAACTGTAGGAGGAACAATGTTTTTAGAAAGAATTTTATAGAATTTATCCATGATGATTGCCACACCGTAACTCGAAATAAAAAATATATGCATATTTACATTTGCAAATGTTTCCCTTATATAACACTTTCTGAGCAAGGCGTATTTAAGTCTGTGTAAAAATAGGTTTGTCACCTGATGATAAATTCATTGTTTAGTCATAAATGATCGAATAAATTTCATAGTGACGTCATAAGTGATCGAAGTGTTCAAACATTTAACTTATACCGCTGAAGTTTGGCAAAATTAATCATTTCATGGTTTCAAACTATAGTATCCAAATATTTGTTAAAATAAATCAATCACAAATGTAAATATAAGTTATAAGACATCATTTTCAAACATTTATCAGAATGTAAATACGGGTTGCTGCATGATCAAATCTCCATAATTTCTTTCACCATGCATTCAGCTTTTATTTAGCATTTGCTCTGTTTTCTAAGCATTCAGGCTTTACACTCTGTGCGCTCTCCCTGTCCATCCTGCACTAAAAGTTTATTCTGGTCAAATACCTTCTACATTTGCTCTGACTTTTCTAGTGTGGATAAGTAGAACATTTAAGATACTGAGAAATCACTAATTTTTGTGGGAGTTTAATTTTCATTGTTTTCGAGGTATGAAGAGACCTACAAATTCATGTCCACCATGAAATGCAAAATTTCATATACATAACTACTCAACACTTCACTAACCAAGAAATTAAATCCCCAGAACAAATATTTTTTTCCCTCAAGCCTTGAAACCGTCATGGTCGCTCAGTCGGTAGAGCGCTCACTCCGTGATCAAAAGGTCGTGTGTTTGAATCGCAGCCGCGACTGACCTAGGTAACAACTGTTCCTTTGTCAAGTGCTCAGCACTTTGAAGTGAAGGTTGCAGGTCCTTTGGAGACCTCAAAAACCGAGGCCCCGTGTCACGGCAGGCATTGGCACAATAAAGAACCCTCACTGGTCAATGGCCCTGAGTGCCAACTAAAGGTCTAAATTTGAAGGCCTTCACCGGTATATGGTGACCTCTCTATATGAGTGAAAAAATTCTCGAGCGGGACGTAAAACAATTAACATACAATCAATCAAGCCTCGAAAATTTGTCCCCACGAAAATATGTGATTTTCACAGCACTCTCACTACTCATAATTTTATTCATATACCCTAGCCTTATTTTTTCTCTAGATTAAAAATGTTATTGTTCATTTGCAAACATCATGAATGTTTTTTAATCAATTTGGTCAAGAGTAAGGAATACAGACAAAATTATAATGTATTGAGAGAAATCTGAGTTAAAAACTTACCAATATTTGGATCCTTTAGTCTGTAGGAATGTACTGACAACTGTGATTTGAATGCTGAAAAATAAATTAAAAAAAAATATTAATGTACCTGACATTTCATTAAAGATTTTACCACTAAATCAAATCAGATTAGAGAACATTTTGATAATACAGAAAAATAGCTTTCTTACACCTATTAAGAAAAAATATCATTATGCCTGACATTACAATGGGATATGGATGTAATGGTAAAATGAATATGAATATAAATTGAGAAAAAAAAATGAATTTGCATTTGTAATGCTCAAGAATGCAAAACTACAACTATATGAAATAAAAAGTTATTTCCTAAATGCCAGAATGAGGGTTTTATCCAACAATCTGAGTTTCAAAACAGAAAACAAAACAAGACAAAACATTATCCTTGTAATTCAGCAAAACATTCTTATCTTTCATTATTTCTTAGAATTATAATTTAACTACATATGTATTCGAATAAAGTATGCATTTTACAAAGTATCAACCTTATTGAATAAAACAAATTAAAATTTGACTTTAACTTCAAAACTTGTGTCTCAAATTAGTGATATAATCTTGCAAACCAACAACAATCAATCAGTAAAAACACACATCACTTGCAGACAAAGGTGCTAATTATAATTAATCTTTATAGTCTTTATCATTAGAAATTAGGTTAACATCAAAACACAATTACTTACAAATGTGCTAATTAATCTTTCAATTAATATTCCAGAATATTTAACCCCTTTATATGGCCCCATCCTAGTCCAAAAAGGGTCCAGATCTAACCAAACTTGAATCCACACTACATGGGGATGCTGAATATACAGTCCTGGCCACCTACTGTGCCCTTATCAAAGTCCCAGGGCTTTTTGATAAGCTTTGTCTTTTCTGACCTACTGGTTTAAAATGACCCTACGATTGATATTTTCTCTATTTCTCACTGATTTCCTCAAGAAAGAGGATATAAATCCTCAAAATCCTTAACCCAAGGGTATTTTGTAGGAAGTTTAAATTTTGATTAAAATTAGCTAAGTGGTTCTGAAGACATTAAAAATATGAAAGGTTTGCAGATGACACACAATAAATGACAACTATAGACAAATATCCAACACTTTTTAATGAAAAAGCATTGGCTCATGTGAGCTAAAAAGTTAAATGGGAAAAAGTAGAAAAGTTGTGGGTGGATAGAATGATAAAGGATAAGCAGGCTGGCAGAGAGATGTGGCCTGGTAAATTTTGTTTCTTTTAATCTCTGTTTTCAGCATAACTGTAAAATCTTACAAGGAATCGTTAAGAATTTTGCAGGGGAGACCAGAAAAACTTCGCTATACCCACTAAATGTGTACACAGATGGACATGGTGATTCCTGTATATATACATAAATATCCCCAACAGTGTTTGCCTGTGGGTATGAATATATTATCAATTTAAAAAAAAATTGATCAAGGTACTTAAATTGGTGAGATATAATAAATTAGTTTTAGTTTACCACAAATATTCTTCTTGTACTTCTTTCTAATGCCAATTAAATCTTCTAGAAGGCGATCAGTCTCTGCTGCAAGAAAAGGGAAATGACAAAAAATGATTTAATTATCGCCATCCATATAGCATATTTGAGTAATTATTCCATTGATTATCTACTGGATTAAAAATATGTTTCTATCAAAAAATATTAACATAGTGAATAGAATTTATACTGTACTATGTGTATGCTGAAGAATAATATATGCAAACAGCCAACCTGACATTTCATAACTTTCCATCAACTGTTTCTCTTTTTCAGCCAACTGTTGCAGAAGGGGTTTAGTCTTAGGATCTATAATTGGATTTTCTTTTAATTTCTTCATTTCATCTAAGTAGCAAATAGAAACAATTGCTGGTTCCAAATTTTCATCTATTTTCTGCAATGATTTTTCAACTTGTTCCCATATCTTCTTGAATTCTATATCATCTACCCTTGCAGATGTGGCATGTGCAAAACAATTATTTCTACATAGCCGAATTCTTTCAAGGGCAGCAAGGAGGCTGCTATCACCATCAAGTGGGGGTTTACCCCACTTTCTTGCATCTGACTCTATCTTGTTACGACACACATTTCGAAAAATTGTGTACAGCAACGTAAAGTCAAGAGTATCATATTGCACAAGTTTGTTGTCTGGAGGCATGATTAAATTTTTCTGGCTGCTGCTAAGATGATTCAGTCTGTCTCTGCTTTGGTAAATTGCTTTGGTAAGTATTCCCTCTCCTCCACCTATCTTGCATCGCAGGAGGTCCCTCAAAGCATCACTGCAAACATCCAGCAAAAGACGTGCTAGTAAGTAAAAGTTTAGGGTTCCTGAGGTCATTTCATAACCCACATCCTTTAAACTGCAATCTACAGCTGCTTGTGCATTAACAGATTGTTGACGTGTCAGTAGCCTGTAAGGAAACGCTTAAGCTGCTCATTCGCAATAATCATTCTAAATACTGAATATAAAACTATGTGAAACAATTACTTATGTGCCCAAAACAAAATGTATTGCTATTTATTTAGCTATTTTGCTATTCCTTCAAATTCTTAGCATTTATTTCACTGTTCTTATATACTAATATACTATAGCAGTTTTCAAAATCTTAAAAATGCTAATAAAAACTTCTTGAAAGCAGTCTGCTTCACTGTCCCTAGCCACTCATCTTTACAAAACTGCTTTAAAGGTGGTGATCTTAATTTAACTACTTAATATAGAGATCATATTGTTCAATTAAAGAAAAAGTAATACAAATGAAATGTAGGGTCAATTATCTTATTTTATTATTTTAATTATACACAGAGGTAAAGAAACCCTAGCTGCTGTTTTAGACCTGGGATAGAGTACACATGTACTTACTGAGAAGTTGAGATCTGTGTACTGGTAGAGTGGAGAGATACTGATAGAGATCTCTGATCCTGGACGACTCCCTCCGTACTTTCCTCATGTTGATACACAGTTCTTCTATCAGACCTTGATGGTGTGCCAGTCACCTCTCTGCAGTGAACAATTATAAAGTAGAGGAAGATTTTTAAAGATTTTCTCTATATATTCATTTGGTCCCATTGTAATTAACCTTCAACTATAACTTCATCAGCAGCTTACCCTGGACTGTATTTAGCATCTTGTTTCTGAGCCCTCCTTCTCCCTGGTGGTGTAGGTTTCCCTTGAGTGTTTCCCATCACTTAATAAGTCAAATCCATTGTCATACAAACAAAACAGTTTGTTTCTGCAATTTAAAAATCATATGGTGTAAACATGATATAAAAAAGCCCTTTAATTAGGTGGATTCATATATATCTGTATATAAAATGACCCCTCTTAAACATTTATATGCTTTTATGCTAAGATGAACTAGAACTGTCCAAAAGGGACAAATACCCCCCGCTGGGTTTTTCAGAGAAGGTACCAAATCACTAATGTTTTCTAGATGTGAGAGGTGTTCACAATTTGCTTAAACATTTAAAGTGAAAATTTAATCACTCATTATATTTTTTTTAATGAATGAAACTAAGGTGCAGCCTAATAAAACATCAATACTAATAATTACAGTGTTTTTTATTACATTGAAAAAATAGTTTGCAACTATCTGTCATCTTTGTGAGACATGACACTCTGCAAATTGATTGTTGAAAAAAAAATTATCATAATTAATTATACAAAATCAAATTGATCTTAATACCTTTATATCAAACTCATTTTAAAAATAAAAGGCTGGTTCCAGTAACTATGTATATTACAATTATGAGACTTAGACAACAGAGATCTTTATTTCTTTCTGCCCAATTCCCAGGAGATATAGATAAGACCTGCTTGATCAGAGATGCCCTAACAGCTTCCCACACTGAACTCAATAATTAATCCTTAACTGGATGCATGTCCACTCATTACTCCCAAGGGACAAATGGATTTACACTATCTGCTGTGTAATGTAAAAACTGTTTTTAATACTTTGTGATTTTTTTTAATAGTTCTAATGAGTTGTTTTAAGCTGTAGTTCACATTTTTGTACACATGTTCTAGATTCTAGATTCTGTAAAATGCAGAAAAATTATCAAATAATGTTGAAAATACCAGGTGCACATCTTCATATGGTAAATAATAAGTGTACAAATTTTCATACAAATCTATGCAATAGTCTCTGGGAACAGATCCAGACAAAACCACATGATAAAAATGAAAAAACACCTGTAAAATGTAAAAAAAATTATCCAATCATGATGAAAATATCAGGTGCACACCTTCATATGGCGAATAATAAGTTTACAAATTTTCAGACAAATCCTTGCAAAAGTTTCCAAGAAATGGTCCAGACAAAATCTCGTCTACAGACAGACGGACAGCTAGACAGACGGACAGACAGACGGACAAGCTGATTCCAATATACCCCCCCCTAAACTTCGTTTGCGGGGGGTATAATTAAAGACTACTTTTGTCATATTATTTTCATTGGAGCAAATAAGAGTCAAATAAAGTTTTCACTAATAGAAAGAAGAATTTTTATATTTTTAATACTCTTCATCTGGTAGGGTGTACATGAATTTGTGACCTAAAAGATATATTGCATTCTTTGATGATTTAAGTCAAAATCAGAAAACTATTATAATTTAGCATGTGATATTGTAAAGCAAATTAACTTATTGTATTTAATGAAATACACAATATTAAAATTATTATGAAATATTTTGTTTGAGACAAGATGTCAGTTGCCAGTGGACATATACTAGTATGTATCAATATTCTCCTCCATAATTATTATAGATCATACTATTTAAAATAATGGTAACATTATATGATAAAAGATAAATCTTAAAGGATATATAAATAACACAAACAAGCTTTTTTTTTCAGAAATCAGCACTATTTCTCATAGGTTTATATTTAAATTGGTTACCTGAATAATGTTTACCAGGTATAATAGGAGAGTTTTATAAGATTTTGTTATAAGGTCAAAAAGTTGTGCAAAATTTTGTATAAAATTATATAGAAAGCGACACAAAGTCTCATATCTAAGCACCAAAGAAAACTTATGATTTCTTTAGTTATTATGTCATTTCAAATCAAAATCAGTCAAAGAACATAAATCAATCCAATGCATCAAATTCTTGTTTGTGTTAAGTACCCTTAAGTAATATATGTGATAATGTTTACAAGAACAGGAGATGACCAAAGACAATGTCTGAAAACAGACTGTAAACAATAGGTCATTAAATCAGCGACCAAAGTGGCCTAAAAATTGATAACTTAGTACATTTTCGGTTGATCAGAGTTTATTATGCATAATTCATTTTTGATATAATCTTACTAAAACTTTTTCAAATGGTAAGTGTCTCATAGTGCATGTACATCAGGTTTATTATTTGAATAAGATTAGCATCTGTCATGATTGACATTTCCTTCCTTTTTTCAGATGAGGCAAAGGGAAATATGCTCTTTAAATCTGAATCACTCCCTGAACATAGAGATGTAAAGACATGCTAGTGAATATAACTTACATTTTCATAGTCAAAACTCTTGACATCAGACAATAGGGTGTACCAGTACTGTATGACTTTCTCAATCGTATAAATTGTTCACATGGATTTCTAGGCCCGGTCTAAATTGTTCCAATGATTTAAACAAATTGCACAAACGATTTTATAAATTGTTCATATGATTTTTTGAATTGATCAAACGATTTAATTCTAAATTTTTCAAACGATTTTCTAAATACACATTTTTAATCAAAGTGAGATAATGCCGCAGCAGCGGCCTTCACTCTAAAGGAAGAAGAAGAAAAAAGAGGCCCATGGGCCACATCGCTCACCTGAGTAACTTTGGCCATGCTGTTCTTTACCAGATTTTCCTCCTTGTAATACTTATTGTGGCCCCGCCCTACCCCTGGGGGTCATGATTTTAACAATTTTAAATCTATACTATCCTAGGATGCTTCCACATAAGTTTCAGTTTTTCTGGCCCAGTTGTTCTTGAGAAGAAGATTTTTAAAGATTTTTCTTACATATTTCAATGTAAAAACTTGGATTCCCTATTGTGGCCCCGCCCTACCCCCGGGGGTCATGATTTTTAAAATTTAGCATCTACACTACCCCAGGATGCTTCCACATAAGTTTCAGTTTTTCTGGCCCAGTGGTTCTTGAGAAGAAGATTTTTAAAGATTTTTTCTTATATATTTCAATGTAAAATTTGGATTCCCTATTGTGGCCCCGCCCTACCCCCGGGGGTCATGATTTAAACAATTTAGAATTTACACTACCCCAGGATGCTTCCACATAAGTTTCAGCTTTTTTGGCATAGTGGTTCTTGAGAAGAAGATTTTTTTAGTGACCCCATCCTATTTTTGTCTTTTCTTGATTATCTCCCCTTGTAAAGGGACTTAGCCCTTTATTTTAACAATTTAAACTCCCCTTCACCCAGGGTTCTCCTCAATTGAAAATTTAACCATGGAGGAAGCTGTGCGAAGGCCAAATGTGACCAAAAACACAAAAATGCGTGTTAGACTTCATAACCTTCATTATTCACAAAACTTAACCACAGCACAAAAAGTTGAAATAACCAATATTTTTTTAAGCTGAAAAATAAAAATAAAAAAGATTATGCATCTTGCTCTACAAATGTAACTGAATTGGCCCAAAACTGTAGAAGCATTTTGAAGGAATTTCAAAAAAATATTTTGATAGAGTAACCATGGCAACATTATTCAAAAACTGATGAATGGGTAGTATTTTGAAAAAAAAAAAGTTAACAGACACACAAACGAACAGACGAATGAACACCGACATCCTACCAATGCCTAAGCTTTTTTAACTGCATGGTCTATGAAAACTTACTGATGGCATGCATGGTAAATATAACTTAGTATAACCAGAGACATAAATTTGACATAACTGTAATTTTGCTTTCTCTATTCTGTCTTTTTTCTAAACGAACTTTTTTCTACACATTGCATTTTCGCTGAGTTTCCTCCATTGTTTACTTCTCCACGTGCCCTAGTGCTAAATATAGCGCCACGCAACATTTCATAAAAACAGGAGGACTCTAAAACTAAGACGACGATTGGCACTTACGTACATTTTACCAGAAAGACAATAAAGTTAATACTTTAAAAACAAAGCATGAAGAATTGATTAAATACAAAGAATAGGAAGTTTTAAAAGGGTTAATTTTTTTTCTGGGCACAGAAATCGGATGCTTTTTGATTATAATGTTGTTACTGCTCGTAATGTCATTTTTTTTTTTTTTTTTGTAAATCTGTTATCGTATAGTGAACACAATGGAATTCCCAACATTACTATGTGTACAGGATAAAATTCTCAAGAAATTGATCATCAGCTGATTGACTCTCCATTGTCACACTTCACAGCATAGTCACCGCTCAACGACTGTGTTTGTTTAGCGCAGTCCGCTTTCCCTTGAGGCATGCGGAGTGCATGGCAGTCGTAGTATAAACACAATTAACTACTCAAGTCATTAAAAAGTAGGTGTCAATACTAAAATGCAATAAAAATTTAATCATGGCGGCCGCCGATTTTAACCATGGCGCAGCTCGTTTAAACATGGCGCACATAAATTTAACCATGGCGGGCTGCCATGGTAAAACCCCTTGTGGAGAACCTTGCCCTTCACCCAAGGAAACTTTGTACCAAGTTTGGTTAAAATTGGCCCAGTGGTTCTTGAGAAGAAGTTGAAAATGTGAAAAGTTTACAGACGGATGGACGGACGGACGACGGACAACGGGTGATCAGAAAAGCTCATTTGAGCTTTCAGCTCAGGTGAGCTAAAAAAAATAGTTCAAAAGCTTTTAAAAATCTTTTTTCTAAATCGTACAAACGAATTTCTAAATTGTCAAAACTGTTTTACTAAGTGATTAAAACGATATATAAAAAAAATCGTACAAACGAATTTCTAAAAAATGCAAAATTGAAATAGCAACTCATAGGCCGTCGTAATAACGCGCATACCTTTAGATTCCGGAAGTTAAAAAAAGTCCGAAAATAAAAGGGACCAAGTTCTTCTACTACATATACTAGTTAAGCTCAATTACCACCAAATTAGAATTTTCAAATTTTCTCTCGCGTAGGTAAATTTATTCTATCCTGATATCAAAAATGAGAATTTTGAAATTAAAATTAACTAGTTTCGTTTTTGGCAATCGCTCAACCATTACACACAGCCCAGGACCCTT